CCCACCCGTTTGAACTAATAAAGTGCCAGGGGCCTAAGTGGTCACCTCAATATTAAAAAAAAAAAAAAAAAAAAAAAGATATACAAAATTTAGTTTTAATATATAATTTTTACAATTCATACCTAACACAAGCTATAATAGTGTTATTATAGATTTCTTTCTTTTCTGCTTTTTTTTTCTTTTTTCATTTGTTTTTGCTATTTATTTTCTTTTGCTACAACACTTTTTCTTCTTTTGTTTTTCTTTTTTTTTTGTTTTAGTGTTAGTATTTTTTTTTCATAAGTCAGTTGAAGACTATAAATCCTTCTGCTTGGGAAGCTAGAAGAAAAAGGTTAGAAAAGAAGGCAATCTTGATAAGCCATAAATCCAATCAAGAAAGTATCAAACTATCTAGTTACAGGGTAATTGATATGGAGATAAACTTTACTATAGCAAATCAAACATGGGCAATTTGGACACCCTTGGTGTCACAAAGAGTCGGGTTAGCAAATACTTAAAGAAATTAGGTAGACTTCGGTCATTATATTATACTCCCCCATGAGCTTGTATTTTATACTAATAAAGTGTTGGCAAGATTGCCAAATTTATCAAAAAAAAAAAAACTATCAAAAATCAAATAAGTAAATAATTTGGATATCTAAATATTTATTTAGTAAAATTTTATACGTATTCAAATACTTATATCCGGATATAGTCAAACCTCTTTATAGTCACCTCTTATATAAGCTTATTTGACCTCTATAATTAACACACTTTTTATTTACGCTTTTTTGTACTCCGGTGTGACTATAGAGAGGCTTGACTGTATTCACTTAGAGAAATTATTTTATATCCAAACATATTCATCGGTTCAACTCTAGAGCATCGTTATTAAGTTTACAAATTAACAGAGTTAACAACATAAAGCCCTTGGTTTATTGTTTGAAAATATCATATGTATACCACAATTTATGACATAAGAATATGATTCAATTTGTCACGTTACAGTATTAATTTTCATGATCTTTGTCAACATTTTTCTTAGTTCTCTTACGTGGTGGCTCTACTTCCTTTTCGTCGTCACTCTCGTCCGGTACGTCGCTCAATTCATCCGATTCACTTTTATTATTATCTGCTTCCTTACTAGACTTTTGTTTGGTCGGTTTTTTGTCAACTGCATTGTCATCTGGTTTCTTTTCTGCACTATCATCGTCCATTTCTTTTGCGTTATCATCATCTTCCGGGTCTTCTTCAGGTTTATCATCTTCGCTTTCTATAGTCTCTGGTGATTTAAATTTACTTTTGACGACCTTTATGAGTAGAAAAGTTCCGTATTTTTCATATTAGCAACACTATAATTCAAATATATATAAATATATATTTCAAAATACCTTTGTGGACCCTTTCTTGGTGACTCTAGTTCTTTTTTTCGGCTTTCTATCTTCTTCGTCATCTTCGCCATTCTTTTTATCAAGGGTTTCGGATGACTTGAATAATTTAAAGGATAAACAAAATGAATTAATAAATGTTCATATATACATCTGGTTTAAAATGTTAAATAAATACTTTTTTAGGAGGTTCGGATTTTTTGACGGTTTTATTCTTTGCATCCTTAGCGCGAGTGAAATAAGGTTCTTTATCTTTTTCCGACATATCATTCCAAGCACTTAACAACTGCTTATCAATTTGAGCTTTAGTCGCAGATTTGTTTTCTTCTTTCGACTTTAATATGTCCCTCTGTTCGGTGAAGAATATATCTCGAGCTTTTTGATTCAATTCTAATTTTTTAATTTTATCTTTATGCACCTTTAGATCCTTTTTATTCGAGATATCGAAAGGTTCCTTTATAAATTCGATTAACCGTTCGATAATTGAGGATTTATCACCCGATACTTTAACATTAAAAAAAACACACATATTTTTCAATGCAGTCATTTTCAATCTTTCAAGTTTTTCTTTGATCGCCGTTGCATCGACAGGAGATTCTGCGTTAAGACCTGAGAAAGCGCGTAGATGGGACTTGATATCATTTTTTGTTCCGGCTCGACCATAAAATAATCTATGTATGTTTTTAAGAGTCTCATCTGATGTTTTGTGCTTATCGATAGCACGAGCTATTGACGGGATTTGACCAAGAGGGATACCTTTACCCTGAACTATATTAACAGGTGGCTTGACACGTAACTTTGTGTCAGAGGCTTGGGAACCATAGGGCACAACTGGACGTGCTTGTCGCCGGGGTCTATCATTAAGTACAGCTTCAACTTCGCCTACGTGCTTTCTTTTTTTATTTGTTTTTGAAACTTCTTTACTCACAGTTTCAGTTGGTTCATCAGATGACACTTTAACCTGTTCTAAAGTTTCAGCCATGAGGTTTTGTTCTTTATAAATGATATTATAAGTGAAATTTTTAGCAGTTGTAAAAAAATGAAATCTAATATTTGCAACTTCGCGTAAACAACGTTCGTGACGTTAGGGAACAGTTGCAGACCAAATTGTTGTCGTTATATATAACCCAAAAACATTTTGGGTCTAGTATCATCTGATTATTGACCAATGACACTTCTTTGCATGTGACAAAGATAAGTGTCACTTCTTGTGAGGAGGTTAAAAAGATAATGAATAAAAAAGTATACATTTTACAGTACATTTTTGACGCGATAAAAAAAACGCGAGAAATTTTTCAGTTTTTTTTCTCAGGCTTTTTCCTGCCAATGACAGAATGATATATGTTCCGAGTTCTGGCTCGTCAACAATTGGAACCTTCAACTCCAACCGATAATGTGAAAGTATCAATTAATGGGTATTAAAAAGATCGGATAGATATCTCAAGAATTCACCGGTCATGTGATTTTACGAATTACTGACGTAAAAAATTCTAGTAACTTTCGTGGCTATGGTGTTAAAAGCCTATACTCAACATGTTTCAATTTTTTAAATTACTATAACTTTTTATACATGAGGTTTTTCAAAAACTGATTGATAACTTTGTGGAGCAATATTAGTTTTATTAAAAAGCCTGTAAAAAAAGTTATACATTTTATAATTACTATATGTTTCAATTGCTATAATTTTTATAGAAGTAAAATTTTAATAATCTTTTTGTTTTTTATATAGAGCAGACATTTAGCAACTACAATATTTCAGGTATATTATATTTTAAACTAAAATTCCATTATTCATGAATTGAACCTAAACTAGGCTCAATTTCTGGATCGATTGAATGACGAAATGAACGAGTCACTGGTTCATTTCAAGTCATTTGAGAACTGTTTTATACACATTGCACATAATTCAAATTGGTTCATATCAAGGCCAGACAGCAATTCGACTGACGGATGCAATGATAAATATATCAAAAAATAAAAAACGCAGGATTGGTAGGTTAAAATTTTGATTCAATAAAATTCGCTATACTTAAGGATGTTCTCAATATCTTGATTGGCTAGTTATCGGGAGTATTACGATTAATTGAAGTAATCCTTACGGTAATCTTCTGAAGATTCACATCGCAAAACGCGGATATTAAATTTTAGCCCAGCATAACTCTATAATAAAAAAAAGATGGTCTCGAGAGCATTCTAAATAACTAAAAATAATGATTATTTGGATATTGGATTTTTTTTTTTTTCTTAACAGTTCTCAATTTAATTCGATAGAAAATATTGAGCTGATCTAAGATATTATGTTATATTGCAAATGTGTTAACAGTTTTTTAACGTCTAAGGATTAAGGTTAACAGGAAAATTTCCCTCCTCTCTCTGAGTATCCCATTTTGAAATCTATTAAAAAATATTAAAAATTAGCATTGTAAATTACATGTATTATCGGATTTCTAAGTATTAAAGAGTTGAAGGCAACTTACATAATCGGTGGGACATAAACTATGATACGCTCTAAAGAACTGCTTGCAAGGAGGAAAGTCCTCACCACGAGCCTTTATACACTTAAAATAATCTACATAATTTTGCCAGCAATGCTTGGTTTGGTTTGTGTTGGGAAAGCGGGCATCAAACCCAGCTTTTAATTGGTCAGTAATTGTAATAATAAAGACAAATAATTAGTTATAAAAATTTTTTAACAAACAGTTTACCAGTTCTAAGAACAATAGTTTTGGTCTCGGTTTCGTCGCTATCGCTACTAACAAGAAAAGTTCATATTAGTCCGTTTTTACACCGGTTTTTTTCGACAATTTACACTCATCGTTGGAGATCTAAGTGACCAACACTTGCCTACTAGTCATGTTCAAGCTAAAGATAATTGCATATATAGAACGGATCTTATCTGTTATAACTTAGTGGTGCAGCATAACGGACTTTCATTCTGATTGGCTAGTTTTGTAGATCATTTTATTACATAAATCTGTAAAAATGCAGATTATCTAATTTCAAGAGAAACTATATATCAGATATATACTTTTCTACGTATGAAAGACAAAGAATAACTAATTTTACTAATAACTAAAGTTTTAATGCGACTTTTGAACTGTCATGCTACACCTAATCTTAAGTTTTGATTGGTCAAAAATTACGATTTTTGTGGTAACTGGCAATTTAATTTGCTAAAACGTCAAATAATTTGTCGGGTTTCGGTAGGAACTAATACACACGGTCGAACTAATACACACGGTCGATTCCAAAGTTGGACCTAAAACTATACCATACTGGATCCGGAACCGACCCAAATATAGCATAGCAGTCTAATGCTCAAAACTAGAAGCCTATCACACTGTTTCTTTGACTTTGTTGACAAATAACAAGATTCTACCTAAACTACAATTTGGATGTGAACCTTGAATAATTTGGTGCTGCTCACTTTACACAGTCATTATAGATATCTGGGTTTGTACAAGTCCATCGGGTACCCGCCGACTAGGTCCTGGAGTAGAGTTTGGAACTGGATTTGTTTTTTAAATCCGAATTTATTTAATTAAATGCAAAGCATCGACGGTTTTAATATATTTGGTTCCTTCGGTTTAACCGGTTTATTATATCCGATTTTATCCGATTTTATGGTTATAAAAATCATATCGATATATTACGCAACAGGGGTGACCGTCCCAAATATGGGAAATGGTTATACGAATGTTGAATGATTGTCACCTGCTAATCAACCAATCAAAATCTTAAATTTTTAAAGAAAAAAAATAACAAAATC